ATAATTTAATGCACGTATACATTTGATCACAATTTCTTTACAGCTATCATCCCACCATGGAACAGGTTTCTTTATAAGATGTCGAGTGCTTTTTTTCAACTTGGGTACATGTTTGTTTTTTAATATATTTAAAATATTACAAAAGTCATTGTATATATTCAATGGATTATTCAGGTCAATAATGATATCAGCGAATGCAGATTCACTGTCATTATAAAAACTGTCCCAGTTAGCTTTGTTATAAAGAAACCGCTCAGTGGGTTCACCTATTTCATATTTTACTATTGAAATATGAATATCTATAACTGTTGGGTAATGATAGCTGCCCATAGGGTCTGAGTGTACACTCCAGTCACACAATGGAGCTAAAGAAGGACTTATACAAGAGACATCTATTGCTGAAGGATTTTGACCTATGCGGCCAACAGTGGTTGGAGAGCCAGAATTCAGAATGCAAAGATCACATTCATCAAACATATTGTAAATTTCGTTTCCTCGTCTGTTACACGAAAGGCAACCAAATGCTACGTGATGCGCATTAAAATCGCCAGAGACCAGTATTGGCTTATGAAGATCGTTAATAATCTTTTTCAATTTATTACATTGGAAGTTTGACCTCCCTTGTTTCCGAGGAGGACAATAAACACATAAAATAGACATATCACCATTACATGTATATACTGTAACAGCCACAGACTGAAGTTCTTCATAAAAAGGAATTGAAGGAACAGAGTACTTAAAAGAATCTTTGATTAAAATTGAAACTCCACCTCTGCCACCTACAGAGATTTTGTTGATTATATCATAATTCGGAATAGACAACCTACTACGTTCTGTTAACCAGGTTTCGTTCAATAAACAAATGTCGACATCATTTTCCTGCAGGAAATTGATGAGGAGTGGTTTTTTGTTAATAAATCCTTCAACATTATATTGAGATATTCGTATGTGACTTTTATCCATTATTGATCTTTTTTTAAAGTTTTAATAAGTATCTCTTGGATAACATTACTGGTTAAAGCTCTCTCATCGTTTCCTATGGCAACCAAAGCGCCAACAATAGCCTTACGAATAAAATCATTGTTAATTATTTCATCAATTATCTTTTCGTTTGATAATTTTTGCAAACTATCTTTTTCCGCTGCGCTGTTAGAAGTCAAAACGGTTGAGGGGACAGAATTGGAGTTCAGTGTTTTTTTCAATGGTAATGTTTTTTTTGTAATAGGTAATTTAGGAAATTTATTTTGATAATCAGTTGTTAAATTAGTATCATTTTTATTTTTATTAGATAATATAGCATTTGCATAAGAAACTTTGTTCTTCTTTTCTTCCATTCTTTGTTTTTTGATTGGACAGTCTCTTGATATTGAAAGGTGTGGACCCTGACAATTCACACATTTAACAACTGTATTGTCTGGACATTGTGAGTAATGATGCTCTTCGGAACATATGGAGCATATTTGAATAGATTTGCATATCTTAGCGCCGTGATTAAATTTGAAGCATTTATAACATTGCAGCAAAGGTGCATTGTACTCGTGTACTCTAAAGCGAAACAAATCTAAGAAAACATGCTCCGGAAGTACATTTGAGAGAAAAGTTAGGCTTACAGTTTTAAAAACTTTGACAGTACCATTTTCCTTTTTAGAGAATCTGCGCACTGCAACTATTTCATAAGGAGAACTTAGTTTTTTGAATAACTCTTCGTTGCTGATGCTTGTGGGTACAAAACGCAGTATTCCTATGGTTTCCACCATAGCAGCTGGTATATATGCCCTGAATTTATGTTTGTTCAAAAATTCTTCGTTTTTTAAAAAAATATTGGCATTATTAGGCTGTGAGAACGTAACTGAAATTTTGGTCGGGTTGACTCTTCTTATATTAGATATGCCCTTAATTTCATTCTTGAAGAGATTGGTCGTGACGATAGGATTATTGTTACCCAACTTTTCATCCTCCTTACAGCTTTCGACGAAAACACTGTAATTAGCACTCACCGCATTTTCAGGAAACAACCTTTTGTATCCGCTTTTGATGAAAGGCTTATAAAAATCATCAGATGATCCTGGATCTACTTCGGTCCTATTTGGAGTTTTTCTTTTTTCAGTCCCGCCGGGCGGGTCGTGCCCGTCCGGCATGATGATACATTTATCTACACTTTTAAGGAATTATGAATACTATTTACAAAGATATATACAGAAAACAAACTTAAAATAAAACTTTTTGAAAAGAAAATCAAAAATCGCGCCTAGTGCGTTCAAAAGCCCGCCAAAAAGTCTCAAAAGTTCAACGTACAACCAGTGTGACCAACCTTAAATTAGAGATCCTGCCCCGCTTAGGCAAAAAAAAACTGACAAATCCTGCCAAAATTTTATGCACAAAATGCCGAAATAATGCCAATGTATCGACAACGCTGATCTGTCCTTTTTATGACATTGACAAGTTAGCGCTGCTATCAATAGAGGTAGTTCCGATTTTTTGAGTTATTTTCAAAACTCCTCAAAAACAAAACTCGTTCACGTGGAACGTGCGCAGCGAGCGGTCCTTAAAGTTCTTCTCCGGAAACCATACAGATACCCAACTCGGGAACTATACAAAGAATTTAATTGTCTCACTGTACGGCAACTGTATATTTTACGTTCAATTCTTCGGTTTCATAAATCTTATCCGGCACCGACCGGTCCTGTTGTCTCAAAAGTTGCTAGACGACCCAAGCAACCTTTCCCTAATGTCATTTGTAAAACCTCATTTGCCCGAAAAAACTACCGATATGTGAGCGCAAAATTATATAAAAAATTAAATTCTCTTTTATCCATTCATTCCCTTACAATGTATAACTGCAAAATAAAAGTTAGCAAATGGCTGAAAGGTATGGATTACGAAGAGACGGAGTGTTTAGTAAATAATTAGAACACTTTATTGTGTAATCAAATACGGCAGCATTTAGTTATTGTCGGTTTCTGTAGTTTTTATAACTAGTTTATATATCTATTTAAGTAATCATACAACCAATGTGCGCACACCCAAATCGTCTACAGTATTTACGTACATAGAGGGGACCCTATTGCCTGTAATACAGGTGATCCTACCACTGGCAACAGAAGTCACCTTTAACAATATTTAAGCTCCAATGTGCCTCTTGTCACCAATTTTTGTATTATTAATTTAAAATATTGTAACTTGCTTTAAGTCAATAAACGTTTATTATTATTATTATATAGTTATAGTTCCTAGTTTCTGCCACAAGAATGTTCAGTGTTGTTCCACTATACAATTTTATAATCATAATCAAAATCATTTATTCAGTTTAGGCTGTTATGAGCACTCATGAATGTTTGGAAGTTACGCCATCGGTTCGTAAATCTACAGCGGGTGACCTTGTACTGAGAAGAACCGGCAAGAAACTCAGCAAGGGCTGTTTTTTTCTCCCTGTTTTATTATTTACAGAGTCGTCAAATTGAAAAATTACTTCTGAGATGAGTCATAAAGTCACCTTTCATTACATAATGATTAAATATACATTAATTGTTTACCTGCATTTTGATTGCTGTGTCATACAGTATAAATACTACTACGCGATATAATCGTTCATGTTGACGTTTCATGGTATTATGGTAACCATTCGACACACCGCACGAAATCAGAAACTAAATAAAATTGTGTCTCCGACAGTTTTTCTAGTCCGACTAATTACTTAAACAACTGACAAATAAAAATAAAGGTAATATAGTCATTATGCTCCAAACTTTAAGGTTTACAATGAAATGAACTACAAATTCGACTAGAGATGTTATGGGAAATCCTCGAAACAAAGGTATCGTTGCCAATGTTGCCATTGGCATTTTAAATTCCTACGTACTGTTTTTTCTTTTGTTGATCCGCACCCTACTCATTTAAATAAATAAAAAAAAGGTTTAATTGCTATAAACTGCCAAATACTGCCAGATTTCTAAAACGTCAAACAAATATGCCACAGAGTAAAATAAAGGTAGCCGAAAAGGCAGGATCCTGCCACATATGGTCACACTGCGTACAACGTTTAATTTTAATATCGAAACTGCAAAATATCTGTGAAACTAATGATTGTGACATACCAACAGAATTGCATAAACTTTTAGGCAACCATTTATTTTATAAACCTATATTTAATTATATAAGTAACACCGTAGAAAAATTGTAAAATGTAAATAATTAACATATATATTTTAAGCTTAATTTTAAGTTACATGTTCTTATACCTCGTTTAGACTATGCCCATGCCGCTGCCCCTCGCGTTGCCGGCAATAATTCCCTCAATATTGCTGCGGCATGATTGAGAGAAGTATGTGTTTACATACTGCCCTACCTCTCACTTCGCTTCAGAGTTTCGGCAATGGCAGACGTCGAAGTAATAACAGCGGCCGAGCTGTGTCTTTTTGCAATCCATAATTATGTTCGTTTAAATAATTAATAACTTTAATATAAATAAATTAATAATTATTAATAAATATTTAATTAATTAATGAGGAACTCGATGGCGCAGGTGGTTAGCGCGTTCGGCTGCGATCGTTGTAGTTAAGCAACTTTCGCAGTGGTCGGTCATTTGATGGGTGACCAAAAATTTCTATCTCGAGTTCCTCCGTGCTTCGGAAGGCACGTTAAGCCGTTGGTACCGGTTGCATCTGCAATCGTTAGAACCCGCCAATCCGCACTGGGCCCGTGTGGTGGGTCATGGCCCAATCTCCCTATTCCATCCATAGGGAAGGCCTGTGCCCCAGCAGTGGGGACATAAAGAGGCTGATGATGATGTTAATGATTTAATTAATTAATAATTTTTGATGCACGTCTTTCTCCACCCAGCGCATGGCGCGAACTAAGCGACGCGCAGAATGTGAACACGCATTGCCACTCGCGCTGCCGGTCCTTTGACTTCCGCACAAAAAACCGCTCTTTTGGGGAGCGCCGGGCAGCGCGAGTGGCAATGGCAATGGCATGACGAGTATCGTGTTTACATACTCGTCATGCCCACTTCCTTCCTCACTCGCGCTGCATGTAAACGAGGTATTAGTAATAAGCTAGGCATAAGGACAATGTATCCATTGCCAATAAATTAAAAAAAAATCAACCAGTAGCCAAGTAGAGTGGACGATTTTTTAATATAATTATGAGGATTTGTGGGTCAATAATTTTAATAATAATATGTTTTACTTACTCCTTTCGTGGTAACACAATTAAACCCATTGTAGTAACTACATGGAATTTTACCAATGCCACTGTCGGCGGTAAGTGCTAGTGATGCTTAACAGACTTGATTGATAAATATCTTGTTTAAGTCGAAATAGATTTTTAACTTTACGCTAGTTGTTTGTTTTATCAATTGCAGCTTGGGATGTTCTGAAACAGGGTGGTAGTTCTTTGGATGCTATACAAAAAGGTGCATCAATTTGTGAGGAGCAACAATGTGACGGTACAGTTGGGTACGGAGGTAGTCCAGATGAACATGGTGAGACTACATTAGATGCTCTTATTATGGATGGGTATGCAATTGTCTTAATATTTTGTGATAGTACATAATCTTAATTATTCTGTAAAAATAAATAATTCTGTTTATAGGAAAACAATGAATGTTGGGGCAGTGGGGGCACTCCGTAAGATTAAAAATGCAATTTCAGTAGCCAGATGTGTTTTGGAGCATACAAAACATTCTATACTTGTTGGAGAGCTGGCAACAGATTTTGCTGTGGAAATGGGATTCATAGAAGAAAATTTAAGTACAATTGAGTCAAAAAATATGTGGAAAAAATGGTATAACAGGGACAGCTGTCAACCAAATTTTTGGATGGTAATATTCATATATTATAAATATGTCATAATAGAGATGTGCAAAGTTTTGTTGAATGACATGAAATGAAATTTTATATTTAAGGAAGTCAAACCGGATCCTTCTAAATTTTGTGGTCCATATGAAAAGCAAAGTTATAGACTTTATGATAGTGCATACCAAGTTATGCAAATAAGTCGATTCAATCATGATACTATTGGCATGGTAGCTATTGATATTTATGATAATATTGCTGCTGGAACATCTACAAATGGAGCCAAGTTTAAGATACCTGGGTAATAATGATTTGTTAATTTAATTAATAAATTATTGTAACATAATCATAAATGGAAAATAATAAATTCTAAGGCAAAATACATTAGTACATATAAACAAGGTATGTTTTAACTTGTGTTTCATCCACAAAATAGACATAACAGAAGGTAATCTCATGTATGTACTTCATTTTGCATACTTATGTTCGGCCAGATCTGTGGCTCAATGGTCGCGCTAGGACTGTCAACAATAGGGGGCCATCCACTTACATTAATTCCTGCCTGAATCTATAATCCGTATGGATTGCGCAGTGGTCAATTTGCAAGAGCAATCAAGTAATTAACTACCATTCAATCCATACATATTATAAATTCCGACAAGAATGAACGGTAGTGGATGGCCTGCTATTGGCTTATGCACAAAAAACAATCGCGGTAGTGCACTCATATCAAGTTGTTTGCTTGATTGTTGAGAATAAAACAGAAAGAACAGAAATATTAAACAATAATAACTCAAATATTAAAAAAATTATGTTGTGGTTTATTACAAAATAAAAAAAAACACATGTTGAATTCAAACATTGTCTACTGAATAGATATATGAACTTGTTTTTTGTTACTCCATTTTGCTCAAAAAATTTCATAGACTTGTATCTCAAGCGGAAAAAATTCGAGCTCGCAGTGATCTGAACTGGATTGAGATATTGTGTCCATGAGCTGCGTTTATGTGTGCGTTGCTTGAGCGCACTTTGTATGTTGATTACCATCTGTTATGTCTATTTGTGGTTACATGCTCAATTTTCAAGTAGCTAAAGTGCAAATTTAACTATAAAAACAACTTTGTGCTTTAGGCGTATTGGTGACTCCCCAATTCCAGGATCAGGTGCATATGCTGATAATTCAGTTGGAGGAGCAGTTGGAACAGGGGATGGAGATATCATGCTGCGATTTCTACCAAGGTATATAACTTAAAGGTTATTTGAAAATGTTCTAACCTCATTTATTATTGTATAGTGAAGTGACTCCATAAAATGTGAATATTTGTAATTCTGTTGCGTATGTCAGTAGAAAAACGAAAATTTCTATAGCAATTATGGCGTATGTACAGGCAGGTGACGTTACACGGCTGTCATTAAAACGCCAAAAGTAAAAAGTAATGTCACTGTGAGGTCAGGATGTTTACTAGCAGGTGACGTCATTTGCATTTTAGGCTCTGCCAAACCTAGGCGTTTTCGGTCACGTGATAATAGATTAAAAATACTTTTGTATTTTATGATATTTTGTAATATTCTCAATTTTTTTTGTCAGAATAGTGAAATCGCTCCAATTTTTCGTATTTTCCATTGCGTTTCTGTTTTGCCTAAGAATATGGGTATACTTGTGTAGCAGCATTAACTTGTCCTTATTCCCCAAAAACAAATTAGACTTGGACGTCCGTGATACTTTTCTATCATAAAACCCCTGAAGAAAAGTGTTCTTTCTGTCAGGGGAAAGAGAAGAATGTGTGGTAGTTTATTTGCTATGTGATGTTGTCAGCTCCGACGCACGACTGGAGTTTACTCCTTAAGTTCGATAGTCTAACCAGACGCAAAAAGAGTTTAGGTATTTAACTTAAAAAAGATTGATACTGTATGAATGGGTAAATTAACAAATTAATGAAAATAATATACATATATAAATATATATTTATTCATTTCATATACATTTATTATAACTAATCGACGAAATATTTTACATTAAACTTTTTAACAATAGTCAATTTCAGATGTGCATAAATATATCATTAGGAATGTTGATAAATTATGTAATTATTATTATCAGACTATTATATTTTTTTTAAATATTAATTAAATCAACATTGTCTGCATTATTAATTACAGTGACAAGTGGTTTATGGTAACTAAAATAAGACACATGGACGTTCGTAGATACGTGGTTCACGAATCTTGAAAATACCGCATCAATGGTTGTACCATACCTCGTTGTCCCCATTGCTCTATCAGAAACAATATCTAAATTCAGTTCAGATTTTAAAAAAAATATTAATGTCTATCCGTCATCTTTGTTTGTCAAAGTTGCGCGACATAGGATGCGCACCAAAAACGTAACGAGGTCATTTATCGATAGATTTTACTCCTCACATTTTTCTCATACCGGGCCCCTTATATATGGAAATCGATTCTTAAGGAGTAAACTCCAAAAATAAAATAAAAGCATACAATTTAGACAAATGTATATTTTAAGAAGTTTTTTTTAAAGTTTGGTTTAATGCCAATGGCCTGCGCAGGCAGACGAAATACTTTTGTCCGCGGAGGACAAAAGGCCCTGAATCGCGCAAAATATGTCCGCAGAGGCCTAGTCACGGCTCAGACCAAATAAAAAGTATAGACGGAGTCTGCCGAACCAAAAAGTGAAGCCGATAAAACTACGCCTCGCCGTGTACATACACAGTTACACGCACACACATGCAACGAAACTACGCCTTGGCTTCTCAGTCGAGCTATCCCGACGCGCGGAGTGTGACGGACGTAATAATAAATAACAATATTTATTAGAGAAAATGCCGAATTGTGTAGTGAAAACGTGTAAAAACCAATCTTCCAAGAATAAAAAACAGGATGGAATCACATTTCATACGTAAGTAAAGTTATAAACTGCTATTTTCAATTAATCAAAATCAAATTTGAGGTTGTCGCTTTGTAAACAAAACCTGAACGAAATGTTGCCATGATTATTCGTTACAGTTTTACCCTTTTGTTCGGTAGCGTGAAATATAACGTAACGTTATTTTATTAAATACATTGTGTGGCATACTTTTATATTATTCGAATATTGTAATGCATGGATAAACAATTACTCGAAACATCTTTTTTCTTTATGTATTCGTATAAATTTTTTGGGATGTAATACATATTATATATTATACGTTTTTTTTAAGATTTCCTAATCGAGATCAAGATCTAAAAGAGAAGTGGATTGCAGTCATTCGTAAGAGTAGAAATGAACCATTGTGGCAACCAGCTTCCCGCAGCGTGGTTTGTTCGACTCATTTTCAGAGCGACGATTTGTACTTCACAACAAAAGGGTTACGTCGTGTAAAACAAAATTCATATCCAAAGGTATTTTTTTTACTATTATTATGGTTACTTAGATTAATTTATATTTTAAAGATTCCAATAATTTATTTGCTAACTGCTTATTGTTTGTACAAGTCCCACCATCTATCATGTTGTGGTAGAACTACTTGCTTCAGTTTCCCCATTTTGCCGTATTATGCTACTAAATTATAGCGAACTTACTTGAATTAAGTATCATTGTTCATTAAAAGTATTAGTACAATAGTAAAAATAATGTTAATTTGGTACTTAGCTAATTTTAAACTCAACCTTGACCGCAACTGTGCACACTAGAAAAATGCCTCATCTAATGTGCACACCGTTTTAAGATGCATCTACTTTTTAATGGCCTTTTTGACCCAAAATTCGCGATGTTTGTGGATTTATTTTATTATGTTCTTGTATAGGAACTAGTGATTATATTTTGTGTATTCTATAGAAAATTTCATGTACATTTTAATAAATGAAACAGTTTATCAACATTTGTATATGCTTTTCGTTTTATCGACATAAAGTTGAGATGACTGATTTGGTAGCGATTTCAAGTGCCTTGTTGCGAGTGCTTGAAACTATAAAATGAACAAACCTATTCCATCCGAGACTTGTAACTAAAGTAAAATAAACAATCCAACATAATTAAACGTCAACACATAAATCAAGGCACTTGGATCTCGCATTTGTTTTTATCAACACTTGAAACACGACCCTTTTTTTTCTGTTGCGTGTTATATTTTATAATTGTATTTGGTAAGTTATTATATACATTCATTTATATATAGTACATTCTATATGTACCAAAACCTGGATTTATAATTTACAAATTTTGAAAATATAACTCATTTTACCTATTTAAACGACTTTTTTATCTTTCCTGAGTTTACCATAATGTAATTAAAATAAATTATAGACATGACGCATTGTGTACACACTGTTTTATTGAACATTTTATGGAGAATCCAAATATACGTTTGTGAAGGGTATTTTTACAAAATAACAGAGAAATCGGCAGAACAATGCAATCGTTCCCACCCAGCGGGCGGGCGGTCCATAAAGAAGTCCGGCACTTGTAGGTGAGAACGGCGCATGACCTTTGGCTCACGAGAGGTTTAGAGAATAAGTTTACGATATTTTTTTCTAATATTTTATAACGTTATTAATAACGCTATGGAATAACGTTATTACATTTTTCTAATATTGGGGTGTTTTATATGACTATGGTAACACTGGCTAATGCACTACATACATAAAAAACCGGCTTCACTTTTTGGTTCGGCAGACTCCGTCTTTACTTTTTATTTGGTCTGAGAGTCACGGACTCAAGTTGAGTCACTCAACGCATATTTTAAGAAGTTCTTTTTAAGTTTGGTTTAATGCCAATGGCCTGCGCAGGCAGACGAAATACTTTTGTCCGCGGAGGACAAAAGGCCCTGAATCGTGCAAAATATGTCCGCAGAGGCGTAGTCACGGACTCAAGTTGAGTCACTCAACGCACAAAAATTTAGTGTGCGAACATCTGTTGCCCGAAAATTTAGAGAAACGCACGCTATGGAACTAAATATTTACAGATTACGTTATGTTGTAATTAAGATAAGTTTAAGAAAAAGAGAAGATATTATACTAATATAAGTTATTTACGGGATTGTTACCATGTACCTTCTTTTTAGCGAGTTTCCGATATTTCGGCACTGTTGCAAGCGCCATGATCACGGAGTAACTGAAGTAATTGCGGGTAGGCTGTTATTGGCAGACACATCGGTCTACCCTCCGACGAAGTCTTTTATTGCGTTCGATACCCGTACCACTGTTCACATTCTCACTATTCACTCGAAACTGTTCTCGACACACAACACTTACAGTATCGGATCTCGACACGACACTTTTTCTGATTGCTGCGTATCAGCCATCGCGGAACATTTGATTGATTCTGGTCCTAACCACTGGATTGAGTTTCATAACCCACAGATTATCTCGACAGAACGCCACTACATACCAAGATTGGTCAGGGAAGCGATTGAAATAACAAAACATAAAAATTTCAATCGTGAGGACGGGTTTAAATTGTCGAGTGTCTGGAATACTGTGGTTCGTATGTGTAAAACCGGAAATAATCAAAAAAGTGTCGTGTCGCGATCCGATACTGTAAGTGTTGTGTGTCGAGAACAGTTTCGAGTGAATAGTGAGAATGTGAACAGTGGTACGGGTATCGAACGCAATAAAAGACTTCGTCGGTGGGTAGACCGATATGTCTGCCAATAACAGCCTACCCGCAATTACTTCAGTTACTCCGTGATCATGGCGCTTGCAACAGTGCCGAAATATCGGAAACTCGCTAAAAACAAGGTACATGGTAACAATCCCGTAAATAACTTATATTACTATAATGTTAGTAACCATGAAAGTTTAAAACAATATAAAGAGAAGATATTTTTAAAGAGAATGGTGTCGATTCTGGCATGATTCTCTAAAGCTAAACTTTTTGACAACAGTGTATTCTTGTCAATCTCTATACAGAATAAAAAGGACAGACTGATGTTATATTTAGTTTTTAGCTTAGAGATTCCTGCCAGAATCGACACCAATACTCTGTCACTGAGTATATATTTATGTCCAAACCGGTCTCTCGGTGTCCCCGGTTGTTCGGGGATTTTTTTGTACGCGGTACTTTTAGTCCTCTTCGTCTGCGTTTTCGATGCAGTTGTAAGCGATTTATTAAGGCGGACAACAGAGTTCGCGAACAAAAATCCCTCTTCTGCGCAGCCATATTTGATTATTTCATTGACACCATAGATGAATGATTGGTCTCGCTTCACTCCACTAGATACCGCGCTATCAAAAAACAACAG